TTGTTGTTTGGCGGGTCCAGGCTGGGGATTCGAACCCGCCACCTTAGGTGTACGTGGCTGGCGCCTTAGCCGGTTGAGCTATAGGCACCGAGCCACAAATAACAGTTTAAAAAGAAAAAGAAAATAGAATCAGCATTCCAGTGAGCCCAGCAGAGGAGGTTGGATTTTTTTTTTTTTTTTGAGACAGCGCCTCAAGCTGTCCCCCTGGGTAGAGTAAGGAGGTTGGTTTTGAAGACTGAGAAGGGGCGATGAAAGCAGAAGGGAAGGACAAAAATCAAGGTGATCTCTTCAAAGTCCCCATCTTTGAAAGGTGGACACAGGAAAACCTAACAATAGAGAAATATCTGATTGGCCAAGGTCAGGTTTATCTTAGGTTAGTTTTTGTTGTAGAGATTAAAGGCAGAAGGACTTTCATTATTATGCTGATTGAAACTGGCTTGTTTGGGAAATTGGGTTATTATCTTTATCCTGATTTCTCAGAAGCTTAGGTAACAACTTAGTTTCAGTTTGGTAACTTGAAACTTAAGTAGGAATGATCCCATTTTGAACTTTGGCCTGTTGGAGCCAAATGCCTAACACAATGGCCTCCTAAATTTTTATTTAACAATACTATATATAAAATATAGAGAGAGAATTGCCAAAAACCATATATACATTAGAAGAGATGTATTATAATACATTCTGTATTATGTCCATATTATATTATGTATATACTTTGAATACCTGATCTTGTAATGACAGAAGTTAAATATGACTTGTATTCATTTTTTGTTATCATTATATATCGAGTATTACAATTTTAAAAGACTTTTTTCTTTCTTAAAATGTGTATACATTTTTGGGCACCCTCTTGTATTTGTAAACACATATATTTTTGTATATTAATAATACATAGTACACATTTTTACATATCAAAAATACATAAATGCATAGTATGGGCCAGGTGTGGTGGCTCATGCCTGTAATCCTAGCACTCTGGGAGGCCAAGGCAGGAGGATCACCTGAGCTCAGGAGTTGGAGACCAGCCTGAGCAAGAGACCCCATTTCTACTAAAAATAGAAAAAATTAGTAAGGCATTGTGATAAGTACCTGTAGTTCTAGCTACTCTGGGGCCTAAGGCAGGAGAATCATTTGAACCAATAAAGTTTGAGGTTGCTGTGAGCTATGCTGACACCATGGCACTGTAGCCTGGGCAACAGAGTGAGACTCTGTCTCAAAAAAAAGGTATGAAAAACACAGGCTAGTTGGTTTCAGGTATATTTCAGACATGCTGTGACAGGGACACAGGTGGAAGCTGTGACACTGAGCTGCAAGTGCCTCTGCTGAACCGCTGTTCTGCTGGCTCTCTCAGAGCTTAAAACTCAAGGGGTTCACGTGCTGGTAGAACAGTGGGAGATATTTTTTGAAGTACATACATAGGTCACTTTGCATGAGGAGGAAGAGGGGACTTTTCCAATATTTACCACACATCTGCAAGGTGCTATGTCTACTTTCGTTGTCTCCCCCAGTTGGGTGCTTCCCAGGGTGGAGACAAATAGGGAAGTAGGTCTTTGCTGAGGGATGTTAGTTCGGCTGAGAGGTACAGTTAGAGGTCTGTGTAGAATTTAGCATTAGGTTATAAATGACTGAATTTGCCACCTTTCTAAATTAGAACCCATTTGGGGGATGAGGGCAGGGATCGGAAGTGGAAGTGTTTGACAACGTGCCTAAAATCTGAAAGTTTACCATCTGCTGACATGAACTGTGGTCACTCAGGCTCCCTGCTTTCACACTGCAGGCAGAGAGTGACCGGAGTGTGCTGTCTCATCTCTGCTTCTCATTTTTAAAGCAGAAGTTTAAAACAGTGCAATCCTCTTTCCCCTGGGGTTTCGATCTCAAACACTGAAGATGTGGGGAGCCAAAGTGGCCTGTGACCACCAAATTGGGGAGGTGTCCAAGCTCAGATCCAGAGGCTTTTGGTCTGGTCATTAAAACCCAGTCAGAAGGCGGCCTTTAATGGAAAAGCTCAAGACTGAGGGGTGGGGGTTCATCCCAGGAGAAAACTCTTAGGAGGCTTACCCCACCCTGCTGGCTTGAAAATAATGTGATCGGCACCTGTGTGTATATGTATTTTTCATATTATCTGACTTTCTCAGTGAGATGCAGCAAACCAAGCATTTATTTAAAAATTCCATTAAAACCCAGGCATTTATTAGTTTTAAGAAGTTTGTCAAAGAAATCGGGCTGCCTTATGAAAATTAGCTTCAATTTTAAAAGAGTTGAACAGATGTAATAAGACTCTAAGCTACTCCGGGGCAGCTCAGCGTAGTGTCTGATCCACCCTCCCTCAAAAACTTTGTTCAAGAGTGATGAACAGTCTTTTTGGAAGCCTTCTGCAATATTGTCTTTGTAACATAAAGAAAATCGCCATTGTGATCATTGAGATTAATAATGTGGTGTCTGGAGCAAGTAGCCTGAAATTATTATCTCAGTCACATTTTCCTTCCTTCCTCCCTCCCCCCCCCTTTTTTTTTAAAAGATGAGGTCTTACTATTTTGAACAGACTGGACTTGAACTCTTGGGCTCAAGTAATCAATCCTCTTACCTCAGCCTTGTGAGTAGCTGGGACCACAGGTACACACCCCTGTGCCCAGTTCTTTGTCCTCGTTCACACAGAGAGAGCACAGCTGGAGCCACAGCTAGTAATCTAACTTTCTGGGACTTGACAAGACTGGAGAGAGTAATGTTTATATTTCCCAATGTCTAGGGGAAATTACAAAATTTTGGTTGTGTGATAAATGATTAATTACTTAATGCAATAAAGTCCTTCCCGATTAAAAGTCGTCCACACCCATGGTGGGGATAAATTTCTACTGAGGATTAATAGTAGAGACAAAAATTTCCTTTCCAGTGTAGGAACACAAAAATATGCTCCACTCTCTGGTGGAAAAGCCCTTCCCTCCACCCTTGAAAGCAAAAAGGCACCTGTTGCTTGAGAGGACAGACTCACCTCGTTGTCCTGGTGATTAATCTCACCAAGGTTGGACTGTTGCAGCAGGACTGTTAGGAGCCTGCAAGGAGAAACAAGAGAAGCAGCTCAAAAGAACAGTCAAGGTGCTCTTGGAATCAGAAAAAGAATACACTAGCAAGCTGGTCAGTGGAAGGCTTCCAAATGAGGGAAGGTGAGTGCTGCTACATGGGGGAAAGATCAGTGGAAAAGCAGCTCGCTGAAGGGAAGAAGGCGTCTGTCAGGGGCATCCTGGTCTGCCTCTCCCACCTCCCCCCAGCTTAGTGCTCCTGGAGAGGACAGGGAAATGGAGAAAGTGAATCTTTGGGCTCATGGTATTCACCAGGCTGTCACCTAGGCATGCTCTTTAAGAATCCAAATCATCTATCTAAGGCTTAGTTTTTATTCATTTTACAAAAACTTATAGAGTGCTGTCAAACTGCTCCACTCCTAGGTGCATATAGGTCAAGTCCTTTAAATGCACAGATGAGGGGTGGTGCCTGTGGATTAGCTGGTAGGGCACTGGCCCCATATACTGAGGGTGGTGCGTTTGAACCCAGCCCCGACCAAACTGCAACAAAAAAATAGCTGGGCATTGTGGCAGGCACCTGTAGTCCCAGCTACTCAGGAGGCTGAGGCAACAGAATCGCCTAAGCCCAGGAGTTGGAGGTTGCTGTGAGCTATGACGAGACAGTACTCTACTGAGGGCAATAAAGTGAGACTCTGTCTCTAGTCTCTAAAAAAAATAAAAAATAATAAATAAATAAATAAAGGCACAGATGACACCAGGAGGTAGTCAGCATGGGCGACTTTGCTCATTCCTGGTGAAATATGAAGATATATGAGCATGAGATGACAGTAACCTGTGTGAACCCCCCCCAATGATGCCCCCACTCAGTGACAGAGGTCAGTGCTCCATCTGTAAGAGAGAAGCAGCTGGCGCAGTGGATAGCGACTCAGGGTCTTGGATGGTGACAGCCTCGGCTCACATCCCAGCCCTGCCACCCATCAGCTCTGTGACCTCAGGAAGTATTTTTACTTAACTTGCCCCCTCTGAGCCTAAGTTTCCTCATCTGTGAGATAGGGTCAGGAAAAACTACCCATCTTACAGCTCAGGGTGAGGATTAAATGGGTTAAGATGCACAAAGCATTTACAGCATGCCTGGAACACACTAAGTGTAGGTTCTAAAACACGTAACCCTGGAAGTAGGAAGCCTGCCTCCATCTTGGAATCACCTGGGTAGATTGTTTTTTAAATCACAAATACCTGGACTCCATATTCAAGAGTTTCTAACTCAGTAGGTCTGGGGAGAAGTCCAGCTTCTGCAGCTTAAAAAAGATGTTCAGAAAATTCTAGTAGCAGCCAGGTTTGGAAACTATTGAGAAAGATGCTGAAAGAATGAATCCAGGAATACTCATCAAGAAAATAAAGAATAGTGTATGTGTGGACAACGGAGGAAATTCAGAATATCGGGAAGAATACTTTGAAAAATATAATTACTTGATCTCCTTCCCCGGTCAAATTTTCATTGTCTTTTGGTTTAGATGACATTGAAAGCCTTAGGTATTAGGTTGCTCCTTACAATAGAATAAAGATACAGTCATCATATTGCCTTAGCAGTAAGTGGAATACAAAGAGAACTTCAGTCGGGACGCACTTCTGGTTGTTTGCGGCCAAGGTGAAATTACCAGGAAGCTTATGCTTTAAATCTAGTCTATCATTGTCCACAGGGAAAGCCAGGATCATGCTGAGATTTGATCTCAGCATTACAGTTTCATGGTCTGAGTTTCTGTATCCTCATGTGTATCCTAGGGTGGACAACAGCACCGGAGGTATTGAGGATTTAATGACCCAATAGGCCACTGTCTCCGGGCGCACAGTCCTTAAAGGAGCAATGGCTGTGACTGCAAGTAGCGCATCTCTTTGGCGCTTTCTAAATTCTAGACGCATTCTTTGTCTGATGGGAAGACACTAAAAATATTTGCATTTTGGATGATACTATTTTTGTCTTTGTTATTATTTCATCATTGATATAGATATATATTTTTTGCCCTTATAGATGCTTTATGGATGGGGGCAAGGCTTAACTGGCGACTGTCTTTCTTTCTCTCTTTCCTTTTTCCTCTCTGTCTCTCTCTCTTATTATTGGCCATTGTTTACTCTCTAAGGCCCACCCATTCTGGGGTGTGGGGAGAGAGTGGCAGGAAGGAAGAAGGTCATCCATGGTCTAGTGTGGTCATCCTTGGTGAACCCTGAGCAGGGAGGATCTTCTGGGGCAGAGGCGATCACTTTGAAAGAAGAGGGGCTCTGACCAGATTAAAATTGAGGTGGGGTGAGCAAGACCTCTTGTCACATCCCAAGGTTGTGGGATGAACCCTGGGCCTAGATCTTTCTGAATTTGCCTCTCAAATCCATTGTTTCTCTGCAATGTCTTACTCGGAGGCTGACCTCTGAGGATGGTGTCAACTAGGCACACTTGCCCTCTGACCTCCTACTGGGTCTGGCCAGGGGAGAACTGGCAGGGAGGGAAGAAGGTAGCTCCCTTTCTGGCAGTGACTGCATTTCTCCAGCTAAGGCCCAGTCACCTCCAGCTGGAGCCACAGCCAGAGCCCTCAGAAGGTTCCAGTACCAGCTCCCTTCCTTGCCCCTTTTGGCCTAAGAGGTGATGACATTTTCTTACTCTTCTGGGGACTATGCTCTTGTTAACCAATCTCTTGTCAGTTATTTTAGATATATTTAAAACAGTGGTTCTCAACCTTCCTAATGCCATGATCCTTTAATACAGTTCCTCATGTTGTGGTGACCCCCAACCATAAAATTATTTTTGTTGCTACTTCATAACTGTAATTTTGCTACTGTTATGAATTGTAATGTAAATATCTGATATGCAGGAGATCCCCAGAGAGGTTGCGACCCACAGGTTGAGAACTACTGATTTAAAATATTGTTCAGGTGCGGCTGGTGGCAACCCTATCCTCCCTGTCCCGGCCCTGCCTGATGTGGGCTGGCATTGTCTTTGCTGACCTTATCCCTTCCTATCTCACTGATCTCAAGCTCACTGATCTTCAAGGCTGGACACAAATTGGCAGATAAAGGCCGTCACTCTCATCTTCACTCTTCGCTTCTTACTTTATGAAAGCCAAGGACCTGGAGCTGTAAGTGGCTTATCCACGGCCATCACATAGTGCTCCAGGGATCTGGCTGGACTGTAAACCAGGCGCCACATTCCAGACTGGCGCTCCCTTTCTGTCCTGTGGCACAGAGAAAGCCTCCAAGGTATACTCCTATGTCTGTCTCATTACCAGACCACTTACAGCCCCGGCTCTGTCTTCCCCCGAGTCCCCATTTTGTGCCATGGTGGCCCAGGAGTCTTTCTTCCACAAGCCCCATTACCACCTGTCCAGATTCCCTCCTGCCCTCAGATCTCTGAGGCAGCAGCGTGACGCACACCTTGTCCCCAGTGCTAGGACAGGAGGCCTAAACCCCAGCAGGAATGATCCTAGCCCCAAGGCTGGGGCCCAACTGCCTCTGTTAGAATCCCCACTCTTTACAGACCAGCTAGTGACCTTGGGCAAGGTAGGAGACTCCCGGCATCTACATTTTCATATCTGTGACATAGAGAGCATAACACCTACTTCTCAAAGATTTATTGTGACTTTTAATGAGTTGATGTGTACAAAGCACTTAGAACAGCCCTTATGTCATAATAAGTTTTATATAATGATTATTTTTTTTAAGCTCCTGCGCTTTATTTTCTGAAATCTCCCTTACTACCAGAGAGAAATTAGCTAGATGCATTCTGGGGGCAACTTATTTCTGTGAGCTTTTCTGCTTTGTTGGCCCCAGGGCTGCTTCTAGCCCTGGAGCTGGCCATCCCAGTAATGGGTGGGAAAATGGTCCTGGCCCTGGCCAGCCATCTCTGCTTTCTGTCCCTGAAGCTGCCTGCAGGCACCAGCAGGCGCCAGCAGGCTGTGTAGTAAGACCTCCACTGTGAGTTAGAACACACCACCTGGTAACTAGAGAGCAGGACCCCAAGGAAATGCTTCCTTCCTCTCTTGGGCTATAGTCAAGAGCGATAAAAAGAGACAGAGCTGCTGGTGCTCTGTTGAAGAGGAAAAAAAAATCTCAGGTAGCCATGGAGACCATGAAAAAGACCTTCAGAGAGCCCCGTGGCTGCTTTTGGAGGAAATTGCTGCTTGCCTTCCAATGCTGGCATGCACAGCCATTGTACAAACACAACTCTGTTCTCTTTGGAGCTTTGTCTTAATGATTAGGTCCCCTCTTTCACACTGGTGCCCTCTGAATGTCCCAGCCAGGGAGCAAGAAAGCTCCCTGGGGGCTGAAAGGGAAAAAACTCAGGCCTGCTGAGAAGCAAAGGGTTCAAAGCAGGAAGGGGAATTGAGAGATGAAACTTGTGCCTCTTTGCTGTTCTCAACCCAACGTGCCTCAGTGTTCATAATTATAAATCACTTAGCCCTGCATCAGCTTCCATCCCCTCTGCATGGGGATTTGGCTAGGGTTGTGGACTGAAACTGATGGTTTGCAAGGGAGCTGTTTCTATCAGAGAAGCAGCATCCCGCTGGAGGTAAAGGGCTAACTATAACTGGGCTTGTTTATACACAGCTTGGGCTTACGGTTTCCCTCCTAATATCCTCCGGTGAGCACCAAGCCGAAGGAGCTTGCTGTTGGGAAAACTAAGGGTCAGCAGATTTTTTTTTTTTTTTTTTTTGAGACAGAGCCTCAAGTTGTTCCCCCCGGGTAGAGTGCTATGGCATCATAGCTCACAGCAACCTCCAACTCCTGGGCTCAAGCGAGTCTCCTGCCTCTGCCTCCCAAGTAGCTGG